GAGCTCATTTCTCTCTCCTCTTGCAGATCGAGGCTTTGAACTCACCTTTAGGACGGCGGATGACCCGGCCCTTTCCCTCATCAAGTATGGAGAATTCCTGTACGACAATCTCATCGTTTTTTCCCCGTCTGTGGAAGGTTTGTACAGCTGACCGGTCCGTCCGCCCGCCCCAAAGTGTTTCTAAAGGTCCCCACACACCTTACGATAATCGTACGATAATTGTGGGAAATCCCGCGATCGTACGATAATCGCGGTAAGGTGTGTGGAAGCCGTGCGACCTCTGCTACTGTAAGGTCGCACGGCTTTAAACTTACGGGCATGTTCGAAAACCCGCCGAGCATCGTACGACGTTCGGCGGGTTTGTGGCATGTCCGTACGATAACAGCCGCACGGCCCGGTGTGCGCACGCGCACACATTGCCCGTTCGGCATTGCGGTCATCGGAAGCCAGCCCCTCAGGGGGCGTGGCTTGCGATCATCGCAAGTACGATCTGCCTATGCGAGATGGGCAGATCGTAGGTTTTTTTTAAGTACCTTACAACCATCGCAAGACAAAAGTCATGTGACGGTTGTAAGGTGCGTGCCCAGCCTTACTCTAAGGCCCCGTTCACATTGAGCGATTTATCGCAAGTAATTCCCGCGATATCGCGGCTATTAACCGCGCGATATCGCTCTTCAATGCTTTGCAAAGGGTCCTGCTGTCGCGGGTTGTGTGTCGCTACAGCAGGACCCTTTTTGGAGCGGATTTTGCCGCGATTCAATTGTTTTTGATGCAAGCATTTGCGCGATATCGCGCAAAATGCAAATCGTGCGACAAACTAATCGCCAAGTGTGAATGGGGCCTTAAATGAAAATGCTGGGACTTCTCTTAGTCCCTCTGTAACGGGGGGGGGGTCAACTCTGGCCTTCCAGCTGTTGTGAAACTACAAGTCCCATGATTCATTGCAAGAGTGACAGTTACAGGCATGACATCCCAGAGGCAGAAACATGATGGGATTTGTAGTTAAAGCACAGCTGGAGGGCCGGAGTTTGGCCATCACTGGTCTAGATCATCCGGGGGTTGTAGACAGGAGCCACTGTCTGGTCTGTATATTTTTGGGTAGGAACAGATGAGGCGAAACATAGCTAACTGCACAGAGATGGTGAATACATGACTCCAGTGCTGCAAGAAAACAGTCCTGACCTCTGACTGAGCTATAGAGTGGGGGTGGGGAACTCTGGCCTTACCAGCTACAGATCCCAACATGCCTTTGCGTCTGGGAGTCTTGCCCGTGGCTGTGAGAATCTTGCAAGGCCTCATGGGACTTGTAGTTCCACATCAGCTGGAGGGCCGGAATTGCGCACCCCTGCTATAGAGCATCGGCGCAACAAAGTTTCAAATGTAATAAGAGGACCAGCACAGTGAAATGATATAGTGCAGGGATGTCCAAACTGCGGCCCTCCAGCTGGGGGGTGACACTACAAATCCCATGATGCATCTCTCTCCAGGAGTCGTGGCTGTGAGAATCTGGCAAAGCCTCATGGGATTCGTAGTTCCACCGCAGCTGAAGGGGCGGAGTTTGGAGATCCCTGATATAGTGAGTCCAGGAGCACTCGTATAACGTGTAATATTGTATATATTTTATATATCTGCTCTGTGTACCAATAAACAGAATATCCAACGCACGCTGACCTGCATATATCTGCTCCGCTGTCCTGCACATCGTGTCAATGAAGATTTTTCCTGACTTTTTAGTTTGTTTTTTGTCCAGATTTTGGTGGAAACATCAATGTTGAAACAATCAGCGCTTTCATCGATGGCGGTGGCAGCATCCTTGTGGCGGCCGGCTCTGACATCGGTAAGTCTATTGTGTGTGCGTAACGGGGAAAGTATCTGAAAATAGCCAAACGCAGGATCCGAATTATCCTCGGGCACAATCCCACGCATGCAGCACAAAGGGTTAAAGAGACAGGAAAGCAGATCTATAGGACTGTGTTGTATCAATAACTGGACAACTGTCCATCCAGAGCCGCCATTTATAGACCGGATACATCCTAAATATAGAACCATTTATCCAACTGTCCATCCAGAGCCGCCATTTATATCCGGAGCCGCCATTTATAGACCAGATACATCCTAAATATAGAGCCATTTATCCAACTGTCCCTCCAGAGCCGCCATTTATAGACCGGATACATCCTAAATATAGAGCCATTTATCCAACTGTCCATCCAGAGCCGCCATTTATAGACCAGATACATCTCGTCAGTGCAGGTAACGGCATGAACTTATTTTGGGGTATAATTTCTTCTGAAGTGTTTGGTTTTTGTTTCCAGGGGATCCTCTGCGGGAATTGGGCAGTGAATGCGGCATTGAGTTCGATGAGGAGAAAACATCGGTCATTGATCACCACAACTACGACATTTCTGACCCGGGTCAGGTAAATGATGGAACGCCCCCCTGTATGGACATTCCTATATGCCGCCTGGGCTGTCCCCGGTATGAAGTCATATTAATCCGTCTTTATTCTTCATCAGCACACTCTGATTGTAGCGGATTCCCAGAACCTTCTGAAGGCCCCGACCATTGTGGGGAAGACCGCCCTAAACCCAGTCCTCTTCAGAGGTGTCGGGTGAGTGTGCAGACTTTCCGATATCCATTCTGTGCTCCACGTGTCATAGAGTTCTTTATGTTCTGTGCTCCATGTGTCATAGAGTTCTTATGTTCCGTGTCTTCTCGTATCGCACAGCATGGTGGCCGATCCGGATAACCCGCTGGTACTGGACATCCTGACCGGCTCCTCCACATCCTACTCATTTTTCCCAGATAAACCAGTCACGCAGGTGTGTTCCATCTTTCGTTGATGTTATTATTATATATGAACATGTTTTTGACTGTGGGCTTCAGAGAAGGTCGGGGTTCCATAAGTAGAATAAGAATGTTTATATTATCTGCACAAAATATATAGAAAAAAAAAGCCAATATCAATGTGGGGACCCCCATAGCAACTGTAACTCTCGCCTTGAATCCAGTGACCCCATGTGCACTCCCAATCCCAGTGTCATCTAGTGACTCCAGTAACTCCGTGTGCACTCCCAATCCCAGTGTCATCTAGTGACTCCAGTAACTCCGTGTGCACTCCCAATCCCAGTGTCATCTAGTGACTCCAGTAACTCCGTGTGCCCTCCCAATCCCAGTGTCATCTAGTGACTCCAGTGACCCCATGTGCACTCCCAATCCCAGTGTCATCTAGTGACTCCAGTAACTCCGTGTGCACTCCCAATCCCAGTGTCATCTAGTGACTCCAGTAACTCCGTGTGTGCTCCCAATCCCAGTGTCATCTAGTGACTCCAGTAACTCCGTGTGCACTCCCAATCCCAGTGTCATCTAGTGACTCCAGTAACTCCGTGTGTGCTCCCAATCCCAGTGTCATTTAGTGACTGCAATTTGGCGCCCAGTCCCCATGTCATTTGGTAATCCAAACAGTGCCCTGTGTCCCTATGCCATCTGGTGACTCGGCGTGTCTGTGTGTGTCCAGAGACTTCCAATGGGCCCCATGTCATTCACTTCCTGTTGCAGGGAAACAATGGGAAGTAAGACCAAATCTCTGAGACGGTTTTCAGCACTTTTCCCCATAGTTCTCCTTAGGGTAACGGGAGGACACAAACTAGCGTCCTCCCATCACCCTAGGCTCAGTATATAGGGAGCTGCTGCTCGCGGTATACTGAGACGCCGCAGCTGAAGCGGATCCCGACAATTGTGCCTGGATCCGCCCAGC